AAACCATTTCAGGTGACTACCTCTTGAAGCTCATGGAGAGAATGCCAAGAGTGTGCAAAGCAGTAATCAGAGCAAAGGGTGGCTATTTTGAAGAAACTAGAATATAAAACATGTTTTCAGTTATTTCACCTTTTTTTGTTAAGTACATAACTCCACATGTGTTCATTCATAGTTTTGATGCCTTCAGTGAGAATCTACAATGTAAATAGTCATGAAAATAAAGAAAACGCATTGAATGAGAAGGTGTGTCCAAACTTTTGGCCTGTACTGTATATATATATATATATGTATATACATATATTTTTTAAGTTATCCAATGAGGCCAATGCAGGTATTAGAATCAAGGTGACAGGTTGTATAAAAAAAAATCATTCAGACATTTTTCTTCTACAATTACAAATAATTTCTACACAAAATTGCATTTCTTACTTATCACTTACTGATCATCATTTGAAAAGCTGCACATCTCTTTATATATGCTCTCAAAAACTTTGACGCAACAAATAACTAATCTGAGACAACTAGGATTTGTACCCTGGTTCATTGTAAACTCAGACTTATTGATCTCATTGGAGCAGAAAAATAACGTCATTAAAGCCCTAATTCTTTCTTAATCTGTACCATGTTGGTCTGGAGGTTTAAACTTGTGTCCTCTCACAGAGTTGGTGATTAAAACAAAACCTTCAGCTCTGTCAGAGAAAACTGATCTGAGTTCAGACTGTTTACTTACAGCACCACTACACTCCCAGATAACTGAGCCTCCTACCTGCCTGTCAAACAGCATCAAATCATAAACCTTCTTGAGACACTCCATATCTGAGTGTAGTCCTGCAGGGATCAGATGTGAAGTCTGGTGGCTGCTCATTCAGTTGCCGTTCAGAGGCTAACAAGCAAAGCTAGCTGCTAAAAGCCACTGCTGCAACTAACAACAGCTGATTATTTACAGCTGAATTACAGCTTACAACTCAGCTGACGCTGCTCTGGTGTGAGTGTTTACAGGATACTGAAACATCCTGGTGCTGACTAATTACTGGAGTTTACAGCCAGTCTGTGCTCTGACCTCATACCGCTAATATGGCACAGTTGCAAGCACTGCTGTTGTTGGCCATTCTCCTCTGCCTCTCCTTACATTTTGAATGTCTGATGGTCCACTACTATTTTCATCCTGTGTCATCTAGTCAATGAAAATGGAACATAGATTTTGTTATAGATTTTAATATCAGGATCTATTTTTTAATTGTCAACGTCACGTCTTCGTCATGAAAAAAAAGTCTTTAAAAAACCCCAACTTATGTCATAGTTTTTGGTAAGGAAATTAACACTGATACGGGACTACAGCGGTGTGTCTTTATGTCAGTAAACAGGATTCTACCATCAAAAGATCTCTCTGTTTGCTCACTCTCTAATGTCAGCAGGAGGAAACCTTCGACCACTGGAGGGTGTCACAGTGTTAGACCTGACAAGGTAAGCGTGTGTGTGAATGCTGCAGTAGTATTCAGCCTTCAGAGGTAAAGCTGTCACATTTAACTGAAGTGTTAAAAACGTCCGCAGAGTTCTGGCTGGTCCCTTTGCCACCATGATCCTGGGAGATCTGGGAGCTGAGGTGATCAAAGTGGAGCGACCAGGTGAGTCAGCATTTTACACCTTACGTTATTCCACAGTCTTCACAGAGCATCTCTGCCGGAGTGTGAGCAAAGCACTGTGACAGTTTTAGTGTGTTTTGTGGAACAGGTGCAGGTGATGACACCAGAGCCTGGGGTCCTCCATTTGTAGGAGCAGAGAGCACCTATTTCCTAAGCGTCAACCGAAACAAAAAAGTAAGTGTGTGTGTCACAGTGTGTGCTCAACACACACACACAACCGTGCATGTACACCGTGCTCAAACATCAGGACCAAACTGGTGGATTTTATATGTTTGATTGGTTTCAGTTTAATTCTATAAAAGTGTCCCTGCAGAGTTCAAAGGTCAGACTGTATGAAATAAATGAATCTAACACATGCAGAGAAAATACATATATGCAGACAGAGACAAGAACAGGATAGCAAAAGTCAGGCAATGTTCAAAGTGGAAACTTTCTATTCAACTAACAAGAATTTATGGGGATTAATGTGAAGATAATGGGATTATCTGGGCTGTTTTAACTTCTCAGAAACAGATAGAACTGTAAACTCTCCATATAGAAATCAATAATATAGTTGATTTATTATGTTCTTATTTTTGCACAATTTCAAAAGCACAAAATGACAAAAATATGTCTGTCTGTCTGTCTATCTATCTATCTATCTATCTATCTATCTTCTTATTGTGATTATTGTTGATTGTCTGTCACTTTTTCTAATGCTTCTGTCTTGGCCAGGTCTCCCTTAGAAAGAGTACCTGTAAATATAGGTTAAATATATAAAATAAAATATTGGTCTTCTCCATGGACTCCATGTCAGACTGTGATGGCTCACAGAGCCTCTGGTTTAATAGCGGTGTATCAGCTGGTGCATCAGTCAGCCTACTGCTGACCCTGGTTGCTGACAGATGACGAAGGTATGTGATGTTAGAGTGCTGAAGAATGTAGTGCAGCTTACAGTTCAGTTCAAGGATTTTAACCAAAACATGCCAGGGCAAGGTGTCTGCGGGTTCTTATAGGGTCTTAAATTCAAGTTAATAAATACTAGACCTTAAAGGTCCAGTGTGTCAGACTTAGGGGGGTTAAGTGCATCTAGTGGTGAGAATTACAGATTTTAACCAGCTGAATCTTCTCCTGGTTATAATTCCTTCGGTGCTCATTGTTCAGGAGGTTTTTTACCAGGAGCTGGATTATCAAAACAAACAGAATTAAATAGAATTAAAACAAACAGACCAGCTGATTTAAACCAGTAAAACCACTGAATAAAGTTACAAGTCAGTCTTTGTCTGACACTGCTTGTTCCAGAGGGCCTTCTAACTACAGTGGCTGACATTAAAACATGAATGTCCCTCTCTAGAGCCAGTGTTTGGTTTGTCAGTTCTGGGCTACTGTAGAAACATAGCAGTGAAACATGACGATCTCCGTAGACGAGGACCAGCTCCCTGTGTAGTTATAAACGGCTCATTCCAAGGAAATGAAAACATGTTTATTATTGTCAGCTGATTGTACACTAAAGAAAACATACTGATTATGTTATATTCCATTTCTGCCTATATACATATATATATATATATATATATACAAATATACACCCTACACATTGGACCTTTAAAAGTCATTAAATAGTCTTAAATATGAATTTGTTAGTTGATTGACACATTTTCTCTTATTTAATTTATCCATCTTTTGATTTAGTTTTGTTAAAAATTAGTCAAACTCTTTGGCGTGAAAGTCAACAAATCTTTAAACCTGCCACTGAACCTAATGCTTTATTTTTTTACCTAACTCACTCTAATAACCATCTTCCTACATACACCTCCCTCTGTGCGTGACTGCATATTTACTATTGACCTTAATACTCACCTGCAACACTCTAATAATGGAGTGACAGTTATGAATAGTGTTAAATTTGGTTAAAAATGATCTAGATGACAGTATCTGATACCTGCACACACCCTGCATGTAATAGTGCTATTTTATGTGAATTTCTGCCCTGGAGAAGTTCACTGTTACAAGGTGCCATTTATATATTGAAACTGTGCAAAATTCCTTGAATCTTCCCTTGTAAATGTTTTTGGAATTTTCCTGTGAATTTTCTAGAAATTATGACCCTTTGCAACCCTTAACAGGACAGGCAGGACACCTACTGTATCAGTGTCATCTTTCTGCAGCACTGCAAAACAAAAAACAAGCTTTAGTGTCACTTCAGTGCATCCATTAAAGTCCGTGTTTGATGTCTGTTTGTCTTCCTGGATTTATTTTACTCATTTGTGAGGGATTTTACCAGCTGACTGTCAAATATCAGTCACCTTATATGTTAAAGTTTCCCACAAGTATTTGAATGAAACAACATGTATATAAATACACTCCCTACTGAACGTCACTGAACAGTTCCTCACTGTGATAACATGAATTTGACGATCAAAGTAAAGCTGATAGAGTTTGGAGTCTCTGCAGGATCATTTATTATACAAATGAAGTGTAACCAGCGGCTGCCTGAAAGGAACCAGATCATTCAGTCATTCTAAACATGATGTGATTGATAGTGAGGACGATCAGACTTCCTGTTTGTTTTTTCCTGTCAGTAAACACAGTTTCAGTGTGTCAGTGATAATAATGAGCCTGTGCTGATGGATTGTCTGATTTCAGAGTATTTCTGTGGACCTGAAGCATCCCAGAGGTGCGGCCGTCATCCAGGAGGTATGACTCACTCACAGCAGCTGCTCGTCCACTGTTTGATATTTAATACTCATCCAGATATAACACCTGAGTGTCATTTCTAATACCAGATTAGACTGGTTTTAATACGCTTTTCTTTTATTCAACAAAATATGCCAACAAGTCAAATATTAAATGTTGTGTAAACAGAAGCAGCTGTGCAAGAATTACTGTAAATACAGTCTAAAACTGAATCAAAGAATAAATCAGCATCATTATGAATCTGACCAAATTCATCAGTATCTTACTCTATGTGACACTTGGTGCTGCAGACACATGCCAGTCGGAGTTACTTTCACAGAGTCTCATTCAATCCCTGAGCATTAGTTCAGTGCTCAAGTGTTGAATCAGCTGTCATATTGACGATGTTCTTTTTCAATAATATCTGCCGTAATAGATGCTGTGGTTCATTGCTCATTCAACATGCCCTTGTTGACTTCCCCTTGGCATTTGCCCTCAAGGGAATCCCCGCCGCCATCATAACTGTCGTTTCATTTGTCTGGAAATCTGAAGTGACCCTCGGAGGGCTGAGGGAGCAAGTGAACAACGATGGTCACTCCAGAGGTCTATATCACCCCCAATGCACAGCAGTTATGCATTTGATGCAAAAAAATACATCCATGATTAGGTGGCAGTAATGTATGTAAAACCACCAAAGAAGGAGAAGATGAATTAATTGGAAAATAAATAAAAATTTATTTAAATAAATTCACTATTGAACATGCTCCTCAGTTTCAGTTTTTCTAATAGGAGTGTATGTATAGGTAGACATACAGGTGTATAGATTCACTTGTCTCTCAGATTGTTTCTGAATAAAATCTTTGATAGCTTGATCTTTAACTGAAAACTGTCATATAACTAATTGCAGTTGATATTTACTTTGATTGCTGTATTATTCAGCAGGTGTGATTTCTCTGTTCCCAACATTACTATCTGTGAATGCATAGAAAATTTGCTGTTTTGCAAGATATCATAAACTCCTCAGCAATAATAGTTATTATAATCATGATACAGATCACAAACAGAAATGGCGAAATCAGAAGCTGATGAAGCTAATTACCAAGTTCCTGTTAATGTATTGCAATTATCTGCAGAAGACACCCTCACCTCAGGGAAAGAGTCTGCAGGTCCATCTGATGAGTTGTAAAGAAAAAAAACAGTATAGTGCTAATCCTGCAACTGGCAGTGGACCAGTGATGAAAGTGAATGAGGGAAGATGTGTTCCATTTAAATCCCCTGCCAGTTTTCCCTCCACTCTCCAAGTGGCCTCCATGCGATGTAAGCTATCAGGGGCTGAGGAGAAGTAAATGAGAGCAAGTGGAATTACTAATTTAATGCAGTGAGAGATACAAACTGTATAGACAGACACAAAAGAAGAAGAAATGATTGTTTCAAACTTCCATTTAGTCAACTTCCATTCAGCGTTGCATGTAGGGCTGTCAAAATTGCTCAAAAATGATGTTCGAATATTCCTTCTAAAAATAACTCATAGGTTCGAACCATTCGATTTTTTTTTTTCCGCATTATGTCCACAAGAGGGCAAACTAATACAAGGAAACATACTTGTATAGGTATTAATACAAGGAAACATAACTACTTGTAGGTATTTTTATTTCAACATAAACATCTTTGAAAACATTTAAATACCTACACATTAAAACACATAAAACAATTATCTATAACATTACGTTATAAACGACCGCAGACCTCTCGCTCGCCCCCCCTCTCTGACCCGTGGCCACACCGCCCGCGGAAGCGCTGCGAATAGCCTCGAAGCGCTGGACCGTGACCGGCTCGTGCCCTGCAGCGATCGTTTCGGAGTCTGGTCTGTTTTCTGCGTGAGCCGCGAGCGAATGTGTCAAGCTGGGTGATGGAGAGAATAGCTGGGAGCAGAAGCGCTTGTCGACCAGCGTGGAGAAATGCACGTCTGATTTCAGTGCGCTGCGCTTCGCAGCACTTCCGCGGGCGGTGTGGCCCTGGCAGTGTGTTCAGTCAGAGATATTGGATAAAGGAGATACCCCACCGTAGGCTTATCCAGCGTTAAGAAAACGGTTACTCTTCCTGTCTCCTAAGTGGGCGTGGTTAGCTCTCCCTCCAATCAGAGCCTGTGCGTTTGATTTGCAACACAAGACGAGAGTAAACTGACAAGAAGCACATAATCGTTTTACATAGATTATTTTGCTTTCATAATCGTTGAAAGCCCAAATCGTAACCTAGATTAAAATATGATTAATCAAGCAGCCCTAAGGCTGACTAAATATGATCAAAACTAACACTTGGACATCTGACGTAGGACTAAGACTGCATAAAAAAAGACAAAATGAACACCAGTTGCATGTCACGAGAGAATGCTGTGTGAACTTGGCTGCTGAATTTGTTTTCAGTAACCCTCGATCATTATTGAACCAAAGCTGGGCTCTAAGTATTGAGTTAAGGGGTATTTATACTTGTGCGGCAGACCCTAAGCCGTAGCCTACGCACGTGGCCTATGCCCTTGTGAGCATGTATACTTGTACTGCGGTGGTTAGACTGAAGAGGATTTGTCAGTCCATTATATTTACATGTTGTGTGTGTGTGTGTGTGTGTGTGTCTGTGTCAATCTGTGTGTCTGCATGTCTGTGTCTGTGTCTCAGCTTGCAGGAGTGTGTGATGTGCTGGTAGAAAACTACCTACCAGGGAAACTACATCAGATGGGTTTAGGATACGAGCAGCTGAGCAGAGTGAACCCACAACTCATCTACTGCTCCATATCAGGTACTGACCGACTGACTATCTGACTTACTGACTTACTTACTCACTGAATTATTTACTTACTTACTGACTTGTTAGGCTCATTTTAGATGAGCCAGGCCCGTGCAGATTTGATCACTGGCGATCGCCACACAAGGCATGACGGTTAGTTTTGTTTTCATGGAAACGCCTGGTTGTCACCTAATCTATCAGCTGATTGGTTTAGATGTTGAGTCAACAATAAGACGTTTTAGATAAACCTTTCATTTTTATAGAATTTCAGAGATTTAGATGTTATTTGTCTAATTTAAAGGTTTATTCTATTAGCAGAAATCAGGTTGTGTTACTGATGGTGATGTTAAGTTTACATGAGAATTCATGTAATTCATGTAACTTTCCAGGCACGGCGCAGTTCGTCTCAAACTAGCCTGTTTACTTACTGACCCACTGACTGATTTACTGACTTACTTACTTACTGACTTTCTTATTGACTTACTGATGTGCTGACTTGCTGACTTACTTACTTACTTACTTACTAGGTTCGTTCGAGATGAGCCAAACCTGTGCAGATTCGATCACCGGCAATCGCGGCACAATGCGTGCCAGTTAGTGTAGTGTCCGACTTCATCCCAACTTGCTCTGATGTCATACAAAAGTAGACAGCAATAATTTCACGATAGCGAGGCGGCCGCAGTTTTTAGAGCCAGGCACTGCTGTTGCTCTCCACTGACTGCAAGAGCTACAGCATGATGGAAAATGCCTGGCTCTTACCTGATCTATCAGCTGATTGGTTTAGATGTTGACACAACAGTAGGACTTTTTAGATCACACATTTTAGATGTTGAATTTCTGAGATTTTGGTTTTATTTGTCTGATTTGTAGGTTTATTCTGTTAACAGAATACATATTGCGTGACTGATGGTGAAGGTTAGTCGTCAGAGACTAAATACATTCATCATAAACGATACAGAGTCTACTGTACATTGGACTGTTAATTATTGAAGTAACCTATTTAGCAACACACAGACTTGTGGTCAGTGGGATGTGAGGATACTTAAAATAACATCTGTACAGATGTCAAGCCCCGACTATATCTGACTGATCTTTAATGAAAGCTGTCTTGTGTTTTTTTCCTTTGAAAATATTAATCTTATACTCAGATACAATTTATTTAGTTGAGGCGACAGGTCCTCTCAGCTGCTCTGCAGCAGCAAACTGATATGATCCTGATTCACATGAAAATTCATGTAAAATGTAAAGCATTTTAATAAATCAATCTATCATAATTAAAACAATTAGAGACTAAAAACAAACTGATATATGGGTCTGATAACATTTTTAATAACTTGACATCATATCGGACAGGATGTGAGTGTTTCCGTGACTTCCTGTACGGACTGAAGTCTGCTGGTAACTGTTGGGAAAGTGTCCCACTTCATCACAGCTTTTGGTCACTGCCCCCTGCTGCGGCTGCCTGATCTTGTCCACTCTCCAGGCGAGGTGCAGTTCATCTCGAACAGGCCTACTTACTTACTTACTGACATACCGACTTAATGACTTACTTCGCTCATTTATAATTTAACATTTATCAGAAATGTTGATGAAGAGATTATCATAAGGTGCACTGAGCACATTTCCACTATTGAGATTCAGTTAGCTAAAGATATAAAATTTGTCCAGAAGGTGGCGCTAGAGGAAAAGTCACAAGGTCAAAAAATGTAGACGGTTCATCATCAGGGGAGCGTTAAAATGATCAGGACATTTGAATGAAATCTGTCCACTGAAGATTCCTCCCACCGTGTAGTCATAAGCCAATTTTCCACCGCAGGAGCTTTAATCATTTACCAGGGATTTTGAAAAATCTCGGCGCATTTCCACTGAAATTACCCAGGGAAAAAACTTTCCCTCAACCCCAAACTTTCCCTGAAAAAAGTACCTAGTAGGGAGGTAGGACTTTTCAGATTCCCTGGAATTCTTGAGGGGCAGGGCTGGTTGCTGAAGAACACTGATTGGTGGAACACACACTTTCAGTGTTCCACACTTCCATGCCAGTGTGGCTGCAAACTTTATTTCATTTCTACAAGCTTCACTTTGTGTTTTGATTAAGGATGGGTACCGAAACTCGGTACTAAATTAGCCCCGGGGCTAAATTATCAAAGATTGTAGTATTGATAAGTGCTAATGGTATCTGTTCTTTTGTGCCGGCGCTGATCTCCTCCACAAACGCACACATCCACACACATGCACACATGCCTACACGACACGGTAACCAGTGAACAGCTGAGAGGCGGCAGTGGAAACAAAGTGAGGATAACTCGAAATAACTCAAGTTGACGGCAGCTACACTCATTACTGTAAATGACATTAAACCTTAGTGAGTAAGAAGCCCACACTTAATCAATACATGTGTTCAGCAAGCATGGACATGTAAAAATGCAGACAGCGATATTCAATATGCTCCGTCCACAGTCTCTCATCCACCGTCACTAACATTATGTCTTACACGCTGATTTAGACAGCACGCTAGTTCGGCTAATAGCGAATTGTTACTAATAAGCTCAAATGACAGCTGTCTGTATGTAGACTAACTTAACTTGACACTTATCTTAGAATACTTTTAAACTTAGCTGCTGGCTGAGACAAACTGCCCCTCCTTTCTCTACCAGCACTAATGTTACCATGTTACCAGCCAACAAGCTGGTGGAGCTAAATATAGGGCACACGCCGAATCATCTATGTCATCAGCCTGATTTGAATACATTTTCTGGAAACACAAACCACACAGATTATCAGGAATTCTTTTGCCTAGGTAAATAAATTACGGGAAATAAAAGTTCCTGGAAATGTTGGTGGAAAAGAGGCTTTAGTCTCCAGACAGAGACAGTGAATATGAGCTGTGACGGTATAACAAGTAAAGATGAGTCAAACTTCGGTGAACAGACTGATTAAAAGGTTGATAATTATGGACGAGGAGCTCATGTTCTATCTCATTTAACTCAAGCTCTTTTAAAGGCCCATTACAGCTAACAGGCAGCACTGCGCCCTCCTCAGCGGAAAGTGACTGCTGGCACAACTGTTGTGGCGTCTGGATAATGTGGAACGGCTGCACAGTGGACTTTAATGGAAAAGAGGTTGAGCTGGTTGACTAATGTGCAGTGCATGGCAGAAACTGGAGTCACTTTATGGGTGGACTCATTCTGGGTTGAACACATTTGAGAGAAAGGTTCTCTTATTAAAGTCTGAACTTTTAACACTTATTGATTATTACTCAGTTTATGGACACTGAAAAACGATGTTGAATCAGCAGTAATTCACAGACAGAAACCTGATTCATCAGAGTTCTCACAGACTGAGACTGAAATGTCTTTTAATCACCAGTGCCAATATATCGATGATAGTGACACCTACTGCAGTCAGTTACACATCATGGTGCATTCCAGGACACTCCTACGTCTAACACATGATAGCAGTCAAACGGCATTGCCTTGCTGAAAACCCCCTGAAGAAAATTATTAACTGGCGGCAGGTCTGGAAAATAATTCAATTCCCTTAAAAACAGGCCTATAAAAAACAGTATAAAAGTGTCATATTTAATAAACAAAAGTCTTTTCACATTTTAAAAATCTTAAATTTAACCTGTTGAACTCTATAGAAACTCTGATGAAGCTAACAAGGCAGTCGGTCCGGCTGGTTTTAACATGTGACTCTTTGCATTCACGCCTGGCATAAATAAAGAATTCATCAAAGCCCCTCTCCAGTGTATTTTGCCATTTTTATGATAGTTCATAATTTTCTGAGTCTTGTCTTCACGATATTGATTGGCCAGAATGTTCGCCAAATATGTTTTCACAGATAACTCAATTATGTGCTCAGAGTTAAAAAAGAAGATTGTTGCTAAAACGGGAAGATGACATACGACTATAGTTGCAGGAAATACATCATCCTCCAAACTTGTGCAGATGCACTGCCTTAAATATCATCAACATCATAGTGAGCCTGCCAGTTAACTTATCTTGTATTTTACCATAACTGTAGCATCATAGCCTTAGTTATATCTCTTTGTGTATTTGTGTCCTTCACCTTAGTTTAATGTGTTGTTTATTTTCATAAAGGCATTTGTAGCCTATGTGCCGTGAACAGCTGCAATCAATACAGTGAATTATACAAAGTCCCACCGGCAGAAACAGCACAACATATGGACACTGGGAAGTGCACAACTATCAGTCCAAAAGTCCAAAAAAGTTAGAAAAAATAAAAGGATCACAGTGCTGCTTTGGGCTGTGTAGGTGCAGAGCTGAGACAAGAACAGCTGATGCTGGTGGACGGTGATCCTTCAAAATGTCCCGTAACTCTGTTTTAAACAGCAGACCTCTGCAACATATCTATCCTTCCCTCAGTGAACTGTGGCATGTGGCTGTGCAGCTTCCCAGTGCAGCAGCAGCCAGCCAACCGACAGCTGCAGCAGGAAGAGATGGTAAAGAAGAGACAAAATGTCGGTGTGTTGTGCTAATTGTTGTCTCATTTGTGCTCTGATAAACAAAATTCGTCAAATTTAATGCCATAGTGCTTTTTCCCAAACTATTTTAGCTGCAGTCTGGTTACTATGGTAATGCATTAACCTTATGTTTCACTATCAACCACACCCCCATTCTCTGTTTAGGAAGGAACGTTAACCCTTAAACAGGAAATAAAACTGGCTGGAGAGGGGCTTTAATCAGCAGTGTTGTTATTTAGATTCTTATGGCAGTGTAGCCATGGACGGATTACTGAATAGGCCAACCAGGCACAGGCCCAGGGGCCCAAAGTGTCTGGGTCATGCTCAGCCACATGCTTTTTTGTCTGGGTCAGTTAAAAGGTTTTACATCAATATTTTAACAATATCAGTATTAGACTTTGGAGGTATCTGATTTTTCATAACTTCACACCTTCCTGGAATTTAATCGGGGTATACGCTATATGGCGGTATTGGTGTGTGGACCTCTGCCCTCCTGCATGGGACTGGCGAGTTCGCCACTCAAGGTCTC